ATTCCTGTCAGAAATGCATAACCTGAATTTTATCAAGGAAAAAACATCAGAAAACCTCAATGGAAAGTTATTCTACAAAAGAAATGGCCTGACCTCTTCAAAAAATTTTAAACCATAAAAGATAAAGACTGAAGCTGTTCCAAATTACAGTAGGCTAAAGAGCCATAAGAACTAAATGTAACAAGTGATCTTAGATTAGAGCCTGAACAACAACAACAAAATTTTTTTGCCATTAAAAGACTTTAGTGGAACAATTGGCAAAACTGAATAAGATCTGTAGATTAAATAACAATACCATGTCAATGTTAACCTCCTGATTTTCATCATCATATGGCAGTTATATTAAAGAATTTTACTGCTTTTTAGAAGTTTACACTGAAGTATTTACGGGTAGGCAAGAATTATGTCTACAACTTAATCTCAAAGGATTAAAAAAAGAATATAAGTATAAATAGATAAAAAGGAATAAAATGATAAAGTGAACATGGCAAAAGAACAAAATTTGGGTGAAAGGTATATAAGAATCCTTTGTACTGTTATTGAATATTTACATATGTCCAAAATTATGTCAAAGCAAAATGTCTAAACACATTTAGACACGTAATGGAGGGAAAAAGATGGCAGATAATCACATTAAAAGATGTTCAACATCATTAGCAATCAGGAAAAAATGCAAATTAAAACCATAATGAGATACTACTAAATTCCAATTAAAATGGCTAAAAGCAAAAGCAAAAAAGAAAATCTGTCAATACTAAGTGTTGGTGAAAATGTGGGGCAACTGAAACTATCAAACATTACTGGAGGGAATGCAAAATGGTAGAGTCACTTCATAAGAAATCTCCAAGTTGTTTTCCAAAATTAAACATACACTTACCCCATGACCCAAGAAGCCTGAGTATTTTTTTTTATGCCTGAGTATTAATCCAAGAGAAATGAACTTATTTTCAAACAAAACCTGCATGCAAATGTTTGTAGCAATTTATTCATAATAACCAAACACTGAAAACAACTCAAATGTCCATCAACTTCTAAATGGATAAACGGTGGTACATTCATATAATGGAATACTACTTAGTAATTAAAAGGTATGAATTAGTGATACATGCAGTAACATGTATGAATCTCAAAAACATCATGCTAAGTGAAAGAAGTCAGTCCCAAAGGTTACATGCTGTATTAATCCGTATATATTTATAACCTGAAAAAAAAACAAACTACAGGGATGAAAATAGATCAGTGGTTAGAAATAGGCATGATGGAATTTGGCGGGGGGCAGGGGGTGTGATGAAATTGTTTTGTATCCTGATTGTTGTCATTATACAATTTTAGGCATACATCAAAAGCACAGAACTGTATACTAAAAAGAATGAAGCTTACTGTACATAAGTTTTAAGAATATATATTTTTAAGTTCACAATGAAATAAGTACTTTCATAAACATTTTATACTCAGCCCAATAAAGACTAGGGAGGTATTATTACTCTCATTTTATAAGTGAGGAAACTGAAGCATTCAGTAACTAAATGAACGTATGAATTACATGTATCAGGAGTAAAACCAGTCCAGATACACTAATTCTATTCAAATGTTTTATGCTCTTATTTTTTCCATGTTCCATACAACTTTATGGGCCACAATGTCCCTGAAGACAAACAGGATTGGAGAGAGGGAAGGAGGGAGGAAAGAAAAAGCGACAAGTATTGGAAGTGTGCCTTTTAGAATTTGGCTTTTGTCCTGAAGGAATTAAAAACCTTGAAGAAATCTGAATAGTGATCACATAGGCAAAAAATTAACTGGCATTTAAGTATTAACTGGTGATTTCTTCCATAAAATCTTCTTAATATCTTAATACTAAAAAAAAAAAAAGCAAACATAAAACATTCGTAGGTAATCTTGTAACTATTACTACAATTTAACTTCTACCTGGTTTTCAGAACAACATTGAGAACAACGACAATCATGACTACAATTCATAACAGAGTTTACAATTTAAATAAACATTTAAAGATATTCCCAGACGCTATCACCCAAGGGTGCAAAACAAGGGTGGAAGAACCTTTAAAAATACCTTTTTGGTTTCAAAATCAAAGAAGTGGCAGTGTAATATTTGTCAAAGAGCATAATATAAGTACCACAGCTTGGGGTGAGGGTGGGGGATTAGGCTTAGTTTCTTTGGCAAAAAAAAAAAAAAAAATTAAAAATTAAAAATTGCATCTGTATCAAATACCATATCTCACCTAAAAAGAGTGGCGTGGTTTCCTCTAAAGTAGTTGCATTAGGATCTGCTCCAGCTTCTAAAAGAATCTGTACGACCTTCCAATGTCCTTGACTTGCAGCAAGATGTAACGCACAGAAGCCCTCAAAAGTCTTTGTCTTAATGTAGTTTTCAGATGAATCTATAAAAGAATAAAACCATCAACTAGAAGATATTACTTCCATTTCATAGAATGAAAAAGCAAAAATTCCAAGAATTAAAGGAAATATTTAAACACAATTATAAATGCTAGAGGTCTAATCTTTTAAAACTCTGTATAAAATGAAAAAAAGTTCTATAAGGGTCACAGTGTGAACAGTTCTTAACACAAAAAATTCTGCCCACACACTCATTTTCTCTTCTCTAATTTTTGGTGAGCCAAGAAAGGAAACACAAAAGCAAAATCCGAAGAAGATAAAGCACCAAAGATTTGCTTAAGCAAGATTTACTGAAATATTAATAAATGTGATATTTTTATTTCTAAATTTTCATGAGAGAAATGGCCTCATCTCTAGCATTACTTCCTTGCTTCTCAACTAGTAACATGAAGGTATTTTAAAATACTCCACTTGTGGGTATTTATCCAAAGAAAATGAAAGCGCTAATTCAAAGATACATGTACCACTATGTTCACTGCAGCATTATTTACAATAGCCAAGATATAGAAACAAGCTAAATGTCCATTGATGGATGAATGGAAAAATGAAGACATGGTATACATATAGAATGCACTCCTACTCAGCCATAAAAAAAAGAATGAAATCTTGTCATTTGTAAAAACATAGATGGACCTTGAGGGTATTATGCTAAGTGAAATAAGTCAGACAAAGAAAAACAAAACAGCATATGATTTTATCTAGATGTAAAACCCAGAAAACAAAACAACTAAAGAAAACTCAAATATAGAGAACAGATTCTTGGTTGCCAGAGGGGAGAGGGATTAGGGGTGGGCAAAATGGGTGAAGAGGTCAAGAGGTACAAACCCAGTTATAAAATAAATAAGTTGTGATATAACATAAAAACAAACAAACAAACAAACCTCTTTTTCTAGTTTAAGATCACAATCTAATAGTTAATGAAGATTACATTTCCAAAATAATAAAACGCACTCCAAAGAAATCAAACAGTGGTATATAATTTATAAAGAACTTTTGAGTTAATTTAAGGTTTCTAGGGTTTACTTACTATAAAAAGCTCAAGGTCATGGTAACATTCAAATTGCATAAGGAATACCTACATTAACATTTTTTGTAATTCCTCAGCAAAAGTTCATATTGAGAAGTGATTTTCTTACTTTTGCTTCCAAAATGGTAAAATTCTAAACTAATAATAGAAGGATCAGCTGTACAGTGAATGGTGAAGGCATTTCTGAGAGTAGTAATGGGCAAAAACAAAATAAAAAAATTTTCTTAACTTTAAATATTTTCTTGAATAGCAGAATTAAAACTAATGCTCTTGCCTAAAATAATCCTCTGTTTTAATTCTTATAATTGGAACTTACTGATGAAATTGTCAGGCCAAGCTATAATAATATTCAAATAACAGCTTATAAGAATAAATACTCAAAGAAAACAGCCTCAAACTTTACAGGATGCAAGACTAAATGACATGATAGGTAATTATATTTTAAAAGTTCATATCACAAAAACAGTGTTTCTCAGATTAGTCAGAAACTGACCTTTATTCAGATATCCACAAAACTATAAGATTAAAACATGAAAAACTAGGAACATACGGATATATAGAGGCAGCTCCTAAATGAGAAATTTCAATATTATAAAGATGTTGATTCTTCCCAAAATAATTAATAAATTTATTATAATTCTAATTAAAATGCCAATAGAGTTTGTTTGTTTGTGGTTGGTTGGTTGGTTGGCTAGTTGGTTTTATAACTTAGTAAAGAGATTCGAGCTGACAGGGGCTAGGGAGCACAGGTAAGAAAAAGAACTAAGAAAAATAAGGCAAGTATTGAGGGGAGCCTCGACTTAACTATACATTAAACTCCGTCTTAAAGTTAGAAAAAGTAAAAGAATGTGGGACTTGTACAAAGGCAGAGAGGAAAGTGCCCATTAGGGAGCAGAGGAGCCCAGAAGCAGCAAAAAGAGTCTCAGAGATATAAGCTGAAAGGTAGGAGACCTAGACCAGTATCACATTACAAATGTCTTAAGGACCTCTCTTTTGGAAAGGAAGGATGTTCTCTTCCACTGAGAAAGAAGAAAGAGAGATAAGGTTTAATACTAGCCATTTAAAATACTACATAATAGAAAAAACTAAACCTTACTGCATGCAATTTAAAAAAATCAACCAGGAGAGGAGCAGTCGGGGAGTCCTAGGATAGAATGCGACTGTGACAAAAGCATCTAACTGAAATATAAATGTACAACATAACCTCACTGAAAGAGTGGGAAAAAAAGATGCTGGCATAACTGTGGAAAATGGTGTATGACATAGAAACCGTAAGGCTAAAGATAAAAAAGGAGCTGTACATAAAAGCTAATCTAGTTGGTAAAGGTATTTCTCATAGTGGTACAGATGAATAATTCTGAAACCACTACACATGTACAATAAGATCAAATGAATAAATACATGGATGACAGATAGTGAGAGCCAGATTTCTCACTGTTGGAATGAATCATGTGGAGCAGATTAGAGTCCAGACATCAGTATGATCTCGTGTTTAGCTTTAATATAGATACGGATGGACAGATGTAGAAATACAGGTATACGCATACACATGGGTTATAATACATAAATATATTTCCTAGTTCTGTCTGCTGAAAAGGTTAAAAGCAATAACATGCCAGTAGCAACAGGCACATCCAGTGTTCAGATGCTGGTTCTGAATACCACTGAACAATAAAAGGAACCAGGGCTCCTAGGAGAATGGCTCATTCTAGGGTTGGCACACAGAATATACAAAATGAGCCTGGAGTATTTTGTTGGTCAAAAATCAAAACAAAACAAAACAAAAAATGGAGGCATGTCAAAGAAACACAGGAGCTAATCTGAAATTTAGCACCCAACAGCCAAAGCTAGAACAATTTGAGCCTCAAAATAAATTACACCATATTGGGTTACCACTCACTGTATAAAATAAATAACCATGAGTCCATGCAGATATAAATAACCGAATAAATAAATGGGAGAGAAGAGATACTCCAAATATCAGAAGAATTCCAAATAATTTATGTAAATACTCCCCCCTCAAGGAAGGCGCTTAATTCCCACCTGAGTGTGGACCATGCTTGGTGATGTACGCACACACACATCTTACAGAGGGAAACAAAACCTCCTGTGCAATTATCTATGAAGTAAAGACAAGAAAAGGCACTTCTCATTCAGGATAAAAAATAGTAAAGTCGGTTTGCTACTAAATTAAGATCCTGAAAGATTTTACTTATATAAAAAAAGTAGATATATTTAGCTAGGTCTAAAACTATTGAACCAGGAAGGTAACATGGTTTAGCAAAAGCAATGGACTTTGAGTCAGAAGATTTGGGCTGCAATCCTCGCTCTGCCAGCTATAATTTGGATTACTCTCTGGGTAAATTACTTAAACTCTCACAGGTTCCTTAGCAGTAAAACAAAGATAAAATAGCTGGTCCAATTCTGAAAAGCGTTCAATAGAATTACAGTATTTATGTTCTGTCACAGTCACTACAAATTTCAGTAAGTCTCCAAAATATCGTTTAAAAAAAGTCTTCAGGACCCCATATAATTGGTTTTGGAAGTTCCAATGATAAACTGGCCTCCTTAATTGATATGTGGGGACCAAAGGGACCATGTGTATCTTGTATTGCACCATCAACCACAACCCTCTCACTCTCTTCCTTCTTGTAACAGGGATTCTTAGAAAAATGACACAATAATCAGTTTTTAATGCCTTAATCTCTATTCTCACTGAAAGGCAAAGAGGTTTCTGCTTCTATTCTACTTACTGAAACTTTAAATGGTAAGGGCATTAAAGACATCCTAAAGGACAAACACAACAGGCACTTCTGTCATGACAACTTGTGAGTTCTTTCTTGGCTGCACTTTGAGGACGAGGGCCATGTCAGCTAGACCAATGCTAGTTACTGACATCTGTGCAGCAATGAGAAGAGTTGACTTAAACACTCTGGCAATACCACAACCCTATGTTTCCTGATACAAAGTGTCCTTTTACTTACAAATAATATTGCTTACTTGTTTAAGTGATGGATGGTAGATTTTTATTTGGTTTTCTGCAAACCCCTAAGGAGAAAAGCAAAACTAGATGGTTTAAAGTAGAAGTTAAATATGTAAGTAGAGGTTAACATAGGTTAAATATTAAGATCAGAGCCTAATGTCAAAAACTAAGCCACAATCTGATACGGTCCAACAAATTTAAGATGTGCCAATCTCAAAGGGTGAGGAATGTCAACCTTGGTAGATTATGTAGTCAAGAACTCTGCACAATTTACATCATCTCATTATGTTTTATTTAGAAATGCTATGAATGAGATGGATATAAAATAATTCCACAACAAGGAATTCCACTATGTGAAAATTTTTCAAACAACCCTTAAAGAGATTTCATTGGGCACATAAGATGAAAAGAAAAAGTCAGTGGAAAAGAAGAGGTTTGAAGGCATCACAGAGATATTAGATCCTAAAATATATGAAATATATTAGAAAATATTAGAAAATATATGAAACATATGAAATACATATAACAGCTAAGGATTACAGAAAAAGCACTTTAAAGATGAAGTACACCCAGAATTTCCAAAGATAAAGCCTGCCTGAGAACAAAATCAACACAGAGAAAAAGAAAAGCAGAGGTGAGAAAATAAGAGACCCAGAGTTCTAATGACACTGTTTTGAATACTAGCATCCAGTAATGCCTAAATGGAACTACCACGCAGTCTTAGCATTTACATGACCTACTATATTCCATTCCTTTTCTTTGTGTAAGCTAGTTTAAACTAGTTTCTTTCACTGATTACTGAAAGAGTTCTGATTAATACTGCAGTATCAGTATTTTAACTCTGCATACTCCTTGCACTAACAATTTCACTTCTAAAACTCCATCATACAGAATTGCTCACCTATGTGCACAAAGATTTACATGCACACACATACACATACACACACATACACATGCATAAACGCATACACACATGTGCACACACATACACGCACACATATATATATGGATGGATGTTAACTGAAGAAGCAGCATTATAATTAGCAAAATCTTAAGAAACAAATCATCCATCAACAGAAGATTAATAAATATATTACATATGCACTATGAAATACCATGTAATAGTACTTTTACTCAGAATGAAATGGGTTTTGAGCAGGAGAAAGACATAGTTTGACATACTATAAAAGAATCCCTCTGATATACTAAGATTAGACTGTGGTCAAATGCAGAAAAAGCAGGGTCAGAAACAGATGTGTTAGGATGCTACTGCAGCAATCTAGGCAAGAGACAATGTGGCTCAGACCAAGGTATTAGTGGTCGTGGGAGTGGGGAGAAGTGGTGTGATTGTATGTGTGTGGCTACATACACATACAAATATATACATACACACACACATAAAGATTTGCTGATTGGCTGGATGAAGAATATAAAAAAAAGGAAGGAATTAAGGATGGCCCACAGTTTCTGGCCTGAGCTGTTAACAATGGAGTATTTCTATCTGATGGATGTAAAAACTGAATCATTAAGAGATTTAAAGACCTGTCCAAGGTACATTAATAAAATGGTGGCGTCAGTAGAACCCAAGTCTATCTGAATACAACTCTTAATCACTATACTTCACTGCCTTATTTATCTAAGGACTATTAGCATCTGTTAGCATGCTCAGTATGATAGCATAATATTTTCTTAACATGAACTAATAAAAAGTACTATATATTATATCATATATTAGCCAAGGAAAAATATTTGTTAACAATATGCTATAATTATAAGATTTTAAGTCACCTTTAGTCAGCAAATGGTTTAAGACTGAATGGGATTTTAATTGCCACTGAGGATTATTATTGCCCTCTAAGATAACAAGCTTCATGAAATATCAAAACCCATTACACCAAATTTCCACTACAGGAAAGAACACAAGCAAATTTGTTATTTGTGCTAATACTTTTAAAAGAAAGCTAAAGTGAAAAAAATACATCTATGCATATTAAATTTCTAAGTAATCCATATCACACTTGAATACTCTTCTCCAACTTGAATTAGTACACAATGTATGATTCTTGGACTAGATTCTGGAACTAAATTGAACAGACAATGAAGCAAAACTTTCTAAACATTTAAGTCCCCTCCATTCGTTTCATATAGGCCTGAGCACCTTCATACTTTAGTGCATTAATAAAAAGTATGTTTTAGGAATCTCTGGCAGTTTACTAATATTAGATGAAAATCGAGGAGGTAGAAATTATATCTTAAAAGACACTTTTATGTACATCAGTTGAGCCACAAGAGACAAGAGAATTATGAATCATATAAAACACAGGTATAGCAAGTATAAAGAATGACAGAAATGTCAAACATGCTTTGGAAACATTTAAAATTAACCCATAATATCAAGCTAACTGCTTCAGCTACAAAGATGCTACTGTCATAATTAAGCAGAAAAGACCTCACTTCACTCTTCAAGACCAGAAACCTTTGTACTTCATCGTCATTTTAAAATATCTCCTCATATGTAGTTGTATACTAGCTACACCTTTTACAAAGTAGTCACCTACCATTCCTCGCTGGTCAATGTCTTAAACTTAAATCATCTAGAAATGTTTAAAAGGCAGAGGACTATTATTTACAAAAGGGAAGAGGGGCCAAAGTAATATATAAAACATTTTTTTAAGTGACCATTAGACTATGTAGCCCTTCTGCCACATTCTAGTTTGATTTTTCTAGTCAGATAACCAAAACTGATAGAATTTTGGACATTAGTTCCAACTACAGAGAGCAACCAAACTCATGAAAGACTGAGACCAAAAATGTCGTCACCTCCTAAAATAAGTTATATAGCTGCTTCCTACCTTCTGCAAACCCAACTTCCTATCTCTCAACTCCACACTAATCCCTGTGTACACACTAAAAGTAAATTAGAATTATCCAAAGTATTTCATAATAGTGAACTCGAATAAAAATAGTGAGAAAATTTTATTTGACCATTTATATCAACTATTCACATAGTTAACTATGTGTAGCTATCTTATCCTCTAAAAATAACAAACTTAAAAAAAAGTCATTAATAATGAAAGTGATATTTTAAATTTCTAAAAGAAACACAAATGACTTAAACAGCCAATTCTAGTACACTTAGTGAAAGACATGCCTAAGTTTATTAAGAAGCTAAAAGGGAAAAAATTGTAACATAAACGACACTGTTCTGATGTGAGGAGGTATAACAGTATATCAAGAATGAGTTTACTGACTAAAACAGAATAACCAAATTCAGGCCTTTATTTGTCACTAGACATAGTTTAGGAACTCAAGCTATGGAATTAACTTCAAACAAATTCTGAAAAAAATATATTAAGCTTTTAAAATATGAGACATAAAGTCTATTTTTCTAGTATCTTTAAACATTCAACTGGAAAAGACTCTAGAACATGTGACTTAAAAAAAGCAGTCATGACAAAGTTCCTGTATTACGACATGGGAATTTAGCCTTGCCATCCCTCATCCTTTAAAACAAAACAAACAAACAAGCAACAACAAAAACACCAAAAACAATGTAAGGGTTATTTCCTTTCCCATCCATGAGGTAAGGAGTTAGTTAATTCTGATGAGCTATGGCCCTAGAAGTCTAAAATTTAAATAGTTATACCTAGTGATGGTAAGTAATACAGGGAAGAAAATCTAAATTTCCATGGTCAATGAAACGTAAATGGTTTACTGACTGTTATAACATAGTGTTATGTTCAACCTCAGTTTACATCAACTGAATGCTAAAAATGTTTATTTTGATTAAATGTTGGAAGAATGCTATAGCGGAAAAAACATGAGTTTTAGAGTCAGAAATTAGTTAAAACAAATACCATATTTTATTATATAAACTTTGACAAGCCAACTTCTCTGAGTCTTGGTTTTTTCATCAATAAAATGAGAATAACATTGCCTCAACAGCAGTTTTGTATTAAATAATGTAAATCATGTATTTAGTAAGAAGACTGTTACAAAGCAGTGCTCTGTCACCATTAAGTCTCTTCCCAATCTGTCTCCTGAGTGTCAGAATCTCCAATTCAGTCTCATGCACCAAGCCTTTTACTCAGTAGTGTGCTGGTAAATGTGTTACTGGCTTGGGCAGGGGAAAAAAGCCTGGATTATAGCACTGGTTTATAGCACCGGCTGATTTCTGGGGTGCAAATACTCCCACATAGCTGATCTCTAGTTACTAACATGAAGTCAACTAAATAGAGTTGGAAAGAGATATGCGGTAGCACAGGATTGCTGTCTGTCTCATTACTGTTTTATTTTTTCCACAAAACTTTTACATTTCGAAATTATCTTGCTTAACTGTTTAAGTATTTATTGTCTGTTTTCCCTGACAGAAATATAAGCACTATAAGACAGGAATCTTGTCTATCCTGTTCTCTACTGCAAAGTCAATGTAATTGGAAAGATTCCCCAAATTAAAGAAACTAAAATGTAAATTTTAAAAAAAGACTACTTCAAGCAAACACTCACACCCTCAAGTTCAGTAACACTGCTCCTTTTGTTTGGAAAAGGAAGAATAACCATGACCAGTAAACTACTAAATGCTTAAACCTAGCTCAGACAATAAAAGTGGGCCAGGAACAAGGACAACATTTATAGATCTCAAGCTGGAACACCATACTTATAAAACCCAAGGCGGGCAATCTTATCATTCTCAATAACACACAGGCAGTTATTTTATGGTTCTAGAAAAGGAAACAAATACTATTGTTAATAAGTCATGAATTACCCACTGTTTTATTAATCCAGCTTGCAAGCCCAGCCTTCTACACCTTGAATTTACTCTACCTGTACGAATTAACATCCGCAAACATTCTATAGAGTTGTGATAAGCTGCTTCATGAATTGGCATCCATCCCCTGTTATCCGCAACATCGATGCTACATCCCTTTTTGAGCAGTTTTCTTAAGATTTTAACATTGCCTTCCCTGGCAGCAAGTCCAACCATGGAGCATGTATCATTGTAAGCCTCCGTAAAATCCATTCTTTTGACCAGTCTACAAAACAAGGCAAAAAGAAAACATTATAATCAATAAAACAACACTGAACTCATAGAGATTAATAGATCGAAGTGGACCTATGTAGCATCTCTCACATGACTGCTGAGGAAGAGTCTGAAGTGGAGAAAGTGACCTGTCACACCACAGACCCTGCTAGAGTCTAACCCAGGAGTCTCTCTGGTGAATTAGGATTCCTTGGAATGTTCTCATTAAAGACATCAATGGAGTTTTGAGTGTTTATTTAACCTCTGGAAAAGGTGTCTGAGCAGCTTCTTCCTACAGGTTTCTGCTCCTACTCATATCCCATCAAAATGTACTCACTAACTCTGTTGATGAGAGAGCTAAACACTTCCAGTTAATCCTAAATGCATACTCTATTATGCAGAGATGGCCATCTAATGACCAGCAATGCTCAGCCTCAAGAATTAATCTATAGCTCTCTACAGGAAAAAGCTAAACCCAAAGAGGCTAAGGACATTTATTGAAAAAAGCAAAGTTAAGTCGTAATACTAGTTTTCCTGCCTCTGCTGGTCCTTTCCAGAAAGGACGAAACACTCAGCTTCTCCTTCCTTGATGAAACTGTCTGGATATAACTGACTGGATATACTGAAATGAATAAAGAGAATCATAAAAATATGAGTCCAGCTTTCCTGCACCACCAGCCCAGAAAGTTCCTCACAGCATTATTGCCCTCTTCCTCATCATCTCCCTTCAAAATTCATTTCAAATACCTCTGGTGTCAGTGTCCAGTATAGCTGTCAGTATATAACTCTCACGAAGACAATTTCTTGTTAGTCACACTTATGAGGCAGGTTGAGCTAAGTCCGATTCAGGCTTCTCCCAAGGGGTAGTCCCTCTCAATAATACTCCCATCCCGTATTAGTTTTTTCTAATAATCTTAGGAAGTAATTCAGGAAATATCAACATATCTAGTCCAATACAGGTGAAAAATTTTCTAGAACCACATTCTAAATAATTTATCCAGAAAAGGAAGGTTTGAGGGAAGAGATTTAAAAAAAGCACACAGCATTTCCAGTGGTAAATTTAAACTTATCCATGGCCACATTTAATAATAAAGCTATTATAATAACAATTAAGCTAAATATAACTGCAGAAACTGATTCTTTACTGAGCCAAACAGCTAAAATTAGACATGGATTAATCTGATCGGATCAACTAGTCCATTACTAGGAAAGTGAAGATATTTATTACAGAATATTTAATTATTTAGTTGACAGTTATTTACTGAGCACCAACTAGATATCAGCAATATGAAGGATATAACGATATAGACACAGATTCTATCTCAAGTTATGTATAGATTCAGAAATGATAAATATATGTTATTCGAAATAAAAGACAGAAAATGCCAAAAGAAAAGTACAAATAAAAAGTCGTAGGTAGTCAAAGGAAGAAGAAACTACTTCAACTTGGTGAGGTCTATGCTGAGCTTTAAAGAATAGGGAAGATTTGACAATGAGACAATGGACAGAAGGAAAGACATAACCAAAATTATAGAAATGAACAAGAAAAAGTAAAGAATAGTGAATAAGGGAAACAACTGTTTCACTTTGTAAGGAAGAGTAAACAAAGAACAGTAGAAAAATGAGGTTCAAGATACAGCTGAAGGCTCTGGAGAATCTTAAATGTTAAGCTTACTGTTTTGAACTATGTTAACTTCTAGTCCATTACATCCAAATTTCACCCCAAAACACACAAACGAATCACATGGTCTAGGGTAATTTATAAGCACTCCAACTATTACGGGAATTTTTTCTATGTAGTAAAAACAAATACAAACAAGAATACTGTTCCAAAGACATGAAAAACAGCATTTGAGTCAAAACAAATATGAATCTTTTTCAATCTTTTTATTGGCTTTTCTCAGTTACAAAAAAATGTTTATAAATTCAGATTAGTAAGCAATACTAATTTTTTCAGATGAAAAAAATACCAGAACTGGGAAATATTTTGAGCTTCTTATGGAAGAAGCCAAAAGAAATGTACTATAACAGGATCATTCCCTTCAACCCTTAACACCAACTAGTTAACATGAATGAATATAAGACCTCCTTTTACAAAAAACCTTCCTATGTTCTAGACTAAAAGAAAGTACAAACAACTCAATGTGATGTATACACCTGAACTGGATCTTGGATTGGTGAAAAATATCAGCTACAAAAAGCAATTTTGAGATAATTAAGAAAATTTGAATATGGAATACATTTGATGATGTAATTATTGCTAATTTTCTTAGATGTGATAATGGCATTGTGGTTAGTAGGAGAATGTCCTTATTCTTAGAAGTATTTAACAGTGAAAAACCATAAACATGCAACTTACCTCAAATGTTTTAGATAAAAAGTATATACAAAGAAAAAAGTAAAGCAACTATGGCAAAATATTAATTACTGGATCCATGTGGACGCTATATGAACGATCCCTATACTTTACTAACACTTTACTAACATTTTTGTATGTTTCAAATTTTTCAAAAAAGTTGGGGGTGGAGGAAAACTAACCATCTTAAGCAACCTGGAACTAGAACTTGGGAGAAAATATGAAAAGACTAGGTTATTCTTAAACTAAGTTTTTCCAGTTTCCTG